TCTATATTCTGTATAAAGAGCCTGTAACGCCTGTGGTGTGGGGCAGGCTGCTGGCCCCTGCGGATCCTTTGTACAAATGAGCCTGTTCTTTCCCTCCCAGAAACCAGTGGGGAGGAGGAGCGCCCCCTGCTGGGCATGGGCCGCCCATGCGAGGTGCTGGTTCCAGCCAGACCTGATTCCTCCCATGGCTACGTCGGGGTGTCCACCCTGCGCACCCCATCCAGGGGTCCTGCATGGCAGGTGTGAAAAATTGACACATGATAATTTTCTTATTATAAACTACTTACATCAACAGGGGCTTTGAGGTCAAGAAGATCTGATTTCAAATCTAAGTCACCATTTCAACAGCTCTATTTGCAAAACTAGAGACCCTCACCTCTGCCTGTATCTAGAGTGCTTGTACCACTAGCACAGGGAACAGAAGACGGGTAGATGCCAGCGTCCCCCCACAGAGCCCCCCTCTCCACTGCAGCGCCAGCCCTTCATCGCTGGCATCGGGATGTTTCTATCAGTCTGTTCCTAAATCTTTGGCTCTAATGAATATACTTTGATTTTTAGAGAGTGATCAGTGGTGAAGAAAAATGTCCCCAAATTTATCTGAATTCAAACAAGAAAGCTTTGCATTTTGGGCTTCATTGGTCTACAATTCTTTATAGATAATACTGAAGTTAATATTCAGAGCGTCTATGGAAAAGAAAATTTCCAAAAAACAATAGTATAAATATAGTCAGATGAGGAATATTTTACCAACTTAATAATGTGAACTCTTTTCAAATAAAAACAGCCCCAAATTACCTAAAATTACAGAGCTATCTACAAATGAATTTTATCCACTCATCCTGACAATGTTGGTCATTAGTTTTGATTATAAGGATTTAGACAAAACTGAATTGCGTTTCATTAAAAACAGTCTCAAAAAGGCTTGAAACAACTAAGGATACCCTCCCTCTGCTTAAAACACCAGCATTTATAGTGAATTTATTACGTGATCGGCACATTCACGTGTCATTTCGCCCATGGTCACCAGTTTCCTCACATGGCTGTGATCCTCTGGCTTCATATGAACACACACGGTTCCCACCGTCACGTGGGGGGAGGCAGTCGATACACAAACACGACCCTGCCCTTCTGACGTCCATGGTCATTACACAGTCCCAGACCACCGGTGGGAATGACATTGAGTTGTAATTTAACAGCAATAAAGTAAATATCTGAATAGCACGTTTCTTCCTTCATATGTTCTTTCTCCTTATAACTCCAACATTGATTTTTATTCTGGATGGAGTCAACTCCCTTTTCAAGTGCAGCTTCTCACAGTGTGGCCCACGGATCCTGGGGGTGGGCAGGGACTGAGACCTTCTCAGAGGGTGTGACATTTTTATAATAATACTAAGATGTTTCATGCTTTTGTCCAGTGTTTCCATGTCCATTAATGGTGTAAAAGCAACAGTGAGAAAAACTAATAGGGACCTAACACCCATCAAGGTGCTAACACCAAACACTAGCGAGTTTCCTGATACGACATATAGTGATACTAACAAATGGGACATTATTGCTGTTGTATTTTGAACTGTGTGAACATTGGAAAGAACTTGTGACTCAAGGAATCATTATTTGCCAATGACCCTCTCATGATGGTACAAAATCATGCAGGGATAAAGCATTAAGCCAAGAGCTAGCTGAACATATTCTCGTGTAAGGAAGTATAAAATGTTTACTGTTATGATTTCACTCCACATTGCAGGTAACATTTAAGAAGATATCATTTGGCCCGGCTGGTGTGTCTCAGTGGTTGAGCATCGACCCAAGAACCAGGAGGTCACAGTTGATTCCTGGTCGGGGCACATGCCTAGGTTGTGGGCTTGATCCCCTGTAGGGGGCGTGCAGGAGGCAGCCGATCAATGGCTCTCTCTCATCAATGATGTTTCTATCTCTCTCTCCCTCTCCCTTCCTCTCTCTCAGATCAATAAAAGCATATTTTTTAAAAAAGTAAAATATATCATTTGTCAATTTTTATGATAATATGAAATAAGAATAAGCTTAAATATTTGAAAAGGTCATTAAGATAGTCATTCCTTTTTCAACAGTATGTGAATGCAGAATTAAAAAAAATATATTTTAATTAAAAAAAGCCCAGCAGTATAACAGATTGAATGTGAAAGCAGGTATAAGAGCCCATATGTAGTATTACCATACTAACAATGACCAAGAGAAACCTGGAGTGGCTATCCTAAAACAAGGCAACGTTGATTTCAGGGCAATGAATGTTTCCAAGAACAAAGAGGGTCACTTCGTAGTATCAAAGATACGAATTACTTAAAAAGACATAACAATTTAAACATGCATGCACCTAATAACATAGCTTCAAAACCCATGAATCAAAAACAATGAGAGAGAGACAAATCCACAACTGTGGTAGTAGACTTCAAACGCCTCTTTCAATAAGTGAATAAGTGGCGGGAGAATCAGTAAGGATATTAAAGTGTTGAACAACTGTCAACTGCTCGACCTGACTGACATTTATACAACACTCCACCCAAGTACGATGGAATATGTGTTCTTTTCCAGGTACGTGGAATTTTTGCCAAGATAGAGCATTTGTAGGCCAGGAAACAATTGTCAATGAATTCAAAAGGATTGAAGTAATATAAAGTATGTTCTCTAAGCACAAAGATTCTTAGAAAATCCCTAGATATTTGGAAACATTTAAATAGTCCATGGATCAAAGAAGTGATCACAGGGAAAATAGAAAGCACTGTGAACTGCAAGAAAGGAAAACACAGAATTTATGGGATGCAGTTAAAGCAGCTTTTAGAGTGAAATTTATATCACTAAACATACACATTAGAAAAGTAAAACGGACTTAAGTCAGAGCTTCAATCTTAAGAATTGAGCAAAAGAAGAGCAAATAAATCACACAGTAACCAGAAGAAAGAAAACAATGAAAGACCAGGGCGGAAATCAGTGGCATACAAGACAAGTAAAGCCAATGGGAAAAAATCAGGGAAACCAAATGTGTGTGTTTTTTGAGATCAACACATGACATTCGCTAGTGGTCTGGACCAAGTAAGAGGGAAAACAGAAATCACCAATATCAGGAATTAGAACTGGGGGTGTCATCAACGACTTAAAGGGTGAGAAAGGACTCTTATGAATAACTTTGTGCCATTAAATTGAACAACTTAGATCAAGTCCTTGAAATATAGAAACCCTCCAAGCTCACTCCCATAGATACTTAACCGGAGCAGGCCTGTGGCAGAAATGAAGCTGACTTTGTAACTGAGAAACCTTTCTCATAAGAAAATTTCAATTGCAGATGGCTTCCCTGATGGATCTCCCAAAATCTTAAGAAAAATGATTACCAATTCCTTACAAATGCTCCCAAGCTATTTGAGAAGAGAGACTATTTCCTATTTAATTTCATGAGACCAGCATTACTCTTAGAGCAAAGCTAGATTAAGTCATCACAAGAAAAGTCTACAGGCCAATATCTTTTCTTACCACATATAGAAACAACCTAAAAAATATATCAAATCAGGTCCAAAAGCATGTAAAATAAATAAATAATACATGTCAAAACCAAATAAATTTTACCCCAGAATGCAAAGTCAGAAAATCAATGCAATCCATATTAATAAATGAAATAAATGAAAAGGTCGCAACTATAGTTGTAGAAAAGCTTTTCACAAAATGTTATATCCATTTCCGATTAAAAACCTCCAAATACCTAAAAATAAAAGGGTTCTTCCTCAATGTGATAAAAAGGAATCAATGAAAAATTTAAAACTAATATCATTCTAATAGCTGAAAACTAGCCCTGGTCAGTGTGACTCAGTGGTCAGGTCAGAGTGTCAGCCCGAGGGCCTAAGGGTCACAAGTTCGATTCCGGGTCAAGGGCACTACCCCAGTTGCAGGTTCAATCCCTGGCCCTGGCCCTGGCCAGGGTGAGTGCAGGAAGCAACCAATCGATGTGACTCTCTCATGACTATGTCCCACCNCCTCCCCCCTTCCACCCTCCCCAACAATCAATGGGAAAAATATCCCCGGGTTAGGATGCTTCTCACCTAGGGTCAGAAATAAGGCAAGAAAGTCTCCCTACTTCTACTCAGCCGTGAAATACAGGCTCTAGCCAGTGTCTTCAGGCAAGGAAAGGAAATAAAAGACATTCAGGTTTGAAAGACAAATTAAAGCTGCCGTTAGCCACCCACAGCACCCCCTGGGGAGGAAGCCCCGTGAAATGCGCACCCCTCTTCCTCCTCGGGCATCACCATTTCTTAGATGTTCAGTCCCCTCATAGGCTGACCTCCCTACACGTATCTTTTTTGTTTCTCTCAAAAACCAGGGGGATTATAAGAAGGAAAAAATGCATTTCTTGCTCCCTTCACCGTCGGAGTGTGAAGCTCTCTCCTAATACGAGCTTCCATCTTGAGTAGTTTGGAAACGGTTTAAATGTCTCGAACTAAATGAAAGAAATGCAAATATCCAAGCAAACAGCACTATTACCATGAGCACGTTCATAATGTCACAGCTGGAAAGCAGTCTCCAGGTCATCACGTCCCTCGTAAAATGAATCATAACATTTTCCAAATAATATGCACTGGCTGCCACTTACATTCATTAACATGAAAGCTTATTTAATGAAATAATTATGAAGCTACAGTTAAATTCTTGCCCCATCTATTTTTTTTTTTTTTTCCACATTAACCAAAATGCATTAGACTACTGGAAGTTAACAAATTAAAACGGAAAAAACCCTGGAGGTACATTTTGATCACGTACATTTTGAGCTAAATTTTTTGTGTTGGGTCACACAGTGAGAAGTGCCACCTCCAGAGTGTCTGGACATTTTCAGCACAAATTTAGATTCCTACAAATAATATAACTGCTGAATAACAGAGAAGTTGTATCTTTAAACAAAAAGAAAAAAGATTTAAAATGACAAGCTCAGCATTCATGTGTTAGAAAATAACATGGTTTTTGAACCATTACTTGGCTCCTACCTGAAGTCGGACCCTGATCTTCTCCCGAATTCTGGAATCCCGGGGTCCGGACACGTGTCGGAGACCTGGGCCACACCACCTTGACTCACTGTAATGCAGCAGAGAGAAACAGTGTTATGACTTTCTGTAGGAATCCCCGAGAATAGATTTATATTAGGCAGATTTGTCTCTTAAAGTATGACTTAAAATGTGATTTCTTTAAAAATTAAGACAGTTTAGCCACATTAAAATAAACCTTTACTCTTATTCCTGAAAAACAAAGACTCCGTGTGCCCCGAAAGGATTGCAGCGTTCTCTGGTTTGGAGCCTTCTGCTATTGAAGAGGCCACATTTTAATTAAAAAAAAACAAACTTATTTGCTATTATGATCAACTTTATGACAGATAAGAAAAGAGAGCTGCCTGATGAAAGTGTCTAAGTTGATGCAGAAGAAAGACTTCATTCATTCCCTATGGGTGAAATAATGAAGTTCATTATCTATTAAGCCCCAGACAAGAGATATATATATATATAATATGTATGTATATATATTTTAAACCTCACCTGGGGATATTTTTTCCATGCTTTACAGAGAGAGTGGGAGGGAGAGAGAGACATTGACGTGAGGGAGACGCATGGATGGGTCGCCTCCCACACGCACCCGGACCGGGCCGGGGGTTGAGTCGGCAGCCGAGGTGGGTCCCCTGGGCTGGAATCAAGCCTGAGACCCTCCAGTCCAGGCGCCGACGCTCTAACCACCGAGCCACGCCGGCCAGGGCCAGGCAAGAGGCGTTTTCAATGAAATGGCCTATTGCAAGCTCCTCAGTGCGCTAAAGGAAGCCCTGGTTTTCTGTGCAGACGGGCTGGCCCATCTCCTGACTGTCCCAGGAAGCGTCTCTCCTCCTGGCGGGACGTCGTCCCCTCTCAGAACAGATCTGAAGGACTCACTTGCTGACACTCCGACACGCCTTCCACCCCATTTAATGTGTCCGCGCCAACCAAGAACGGGGCGAAGACCTGGTCTCTACGAGCTCCCAGAGACGCCTCCGGGCCCTGCCACAGCCTCGCTCAGGCCTCATTGACCTGAACGGAGTCGCAAGCGGAAAGCTGAGCACCTTGATGGGAAGAAAGAACTGCCTCTTCCCCACGGCACTTAAAAATGACCCAGCAAGTCGGGCACTGACATCAGCAAGGTGGCAGCATTTGCGGGCTCACACGCTCCTCAACCTGAAGACATCGATCGGCAGAGTGGATTTTATAAACAAGAATATACAATTGTATGAATAACTATGTGCTGTCTCCAAGAGACTCACTTTATTTTTATGTTTATGTTTATGTTTATTTTATTGATTTCAGAGAAAGGAAGGGAAGAGGAGAGAGAGAAACATCAATGGTGAGAGTCATCGATCGCCTGCCTCCCGCAGGCCCCCCACTGGGGATCGAGCCGCGACCCCGGGCCTGTGCCCCGACCGGGAACCGAACCCCGATCTCCTGGTTCATGGGTCAATGCTCAACTGCTGAGCCCCACCAGCCAGCAAGAGGCTCACTTCAGATCTAAGGACACAAAGAGTTTGAAAGGGCAGCTGGATTCACAGGGCCGGGAGGTAGAATGGTGGCTGCCAGACGCTGGGGGAGAAAGGCCAGGGGTCTGCTCAAGCTCAGAGACAGTCGGGAAGAAGAAACACCCTGGAGGTGGCGCTGGATTCGCTGTAACGCGCATGTTCCCAATGCCGCAGGACCGTACGGGTAAAACAGGTAAGGCGGTAACTCCTGTGCCACACGCATCTTACACGGCGCGTGTGCGGGCCGACAAGTCACAAACCCCTACCCCCCGGCGGCTCTGCTGCCATCAGCCCGATAGCCCTGCAGCTCGTTTCTCCAACCCCATGAGTTTAGTCCGTACCGTTTCCCAATCTTTAAAATTCAGCTAAACAGATTCTAGTTTTAATTATAGAAACCCCAACGCAGAATGTTACTCCCACCAGATTTATGCCCTCGCTGGGCAGATGTCTCCTCTATCCCCCGTTATCGCCGGGTCAAGGGAAGACGGCTTCATCGGGGACCGGCCATCACTGTCTCTATCCGGAGCCGTGTCCCCTACACTGAGCTTCTCACCCGACGACTCTTCAGCCCCAACCTGGTCCAAGACACAAAAGAAAGGCCTCAGCAGGCCTACGACCCCCCCTGCCCCTTACATTTTTCAAGCATGGACAGAAGCAAAGAGAAAGGAGAGACGCCGGAGGCGCCCGTTCAAGTCAGATCAAAACACTCTGGATCTTTCTAAAGATAAAGTCAAAGCGGCTTGTTGGTTAGAGGAAGGAGAGGTGTCGGAAGTCTGCGAGAGCTCAGAGCGAATGAGGCGAGGCCGAACGGCTCGCGGGCGGCGGGAGGCAGCGGAGCAGCGAGGAAGGCTCAGCGTGAAAATACATATAAAACCACGTAGGATGTGGCGACGACTGGGGGAAAGGGGGGGGCAGGTAAAGGGGGGATGAGTGGTGATGGAAGGAGGCGGGACCTGGGGTGGCGAACACACAATACAATAGACAGACGACGTATATAGAATTGTACACCTGAAACCTATATAATCCTAGTAACCAATGTCACCCCAATAAATTCAACAAAATTTCTAAAAATCTGGCTGATTTTCTGAAACAGAGACAGGTTTTTAATGGGTAATGGCAGGAAAAAATAAGGTGATAAACATGTACAAATAAACAATAAGCCCCATAAACCCCAACTCTCTGTTTCAGCGGCGTCACCAGCAATTAATTTCCCTGAAAACTGAAGCTTTAGGGTCAGGAAGAGTAGAGGAGATGGGTCAGCTTTAAGCAGGATCCCCAGCCCCTCAGGGAAATGCTGCAAAGGGGAGAAATGCCTGGTTTTAATATCACTTTAACTCTCATTTTGTTGAATTATATCTTTTCAAGTCTCAGAAGACGTGTGCCATAGATATTAATACATATATTAAACTCTAGTCAAAGCCTCCGAGATAAAACTCAAAACTGGGACCATTCAATGGGAGACTCTTTACCCATCACTGACCGACACTAACACGAGATGTACAGTTATGCAAGGGGTGAGCAGATGCCAGGTAGCTGTAAAAGGCTTGGAAACTCGATTTGAAATGTAGACATTCTGTTCTGTATATCCGTCTAAATGCATTTTTCAAAGCATGTTGACTCACATATCTCATTAGATACACACAGGATTCCTGCCAGGTGTGTAGGGCCGTGAGGAAAACGCTTCTCCCATCAATTGTCCTGTCCTTTGATGTTAGGCCTCATGATTGTCAATTAAAACTCCACATGGACTTATTTGGAGCCAACCATACAGCTAGACTCGGGCTCCAGGGAAGGAAAGGAAGCATTTCCTGCCATAAGCTCTGTGCGTGCGTTTTCTCTCCCATGATTTCCCCAACGCTATCTCTCTAGCTTATTGTATTGTAATAACACAGTATATATTCATATAACACACAGAACAGACGTTATCCGAAGGCCTCCAGCAAGCAGTGGGCTATCAGTAACGACCTCTGTGGGGAGTCAAAGTTATATGAAAATTTTTGACTGTGGAGGGGTCTGTGCCCCTAACTCCCTGCATTGTTCAAAAGTCAACGCTACCTCTATGATACAGGAAATGATAGAAAAATAAATTAGTGGAGCCCTGGCCGGGTAGCTCAGTTGGTTAGAGCGTCATCCAGATATGCCAAGGTTGTGGGTTCCCAGGTCAGGGCACATAAAAAGTCAACCAATGACACATAAATAAATGGAACAGCTAATAGATCACTCTCTCTTTCTCTCTCTCTACCTCCCCAACTCTCTCAAATTAATAAATAAAAATTTAAAAAAAATTAGTGGAGACAAGATTTACGTTAGTAAAATAATCAGAGAAAATTAGAAGTGAAGTGCAAAGAATACTACTTATAATACTAATGAGGAGGTAAAATGAAACACATTACTTGCTAGAAACTCCAAGTATCTTTTATATACGTTTGTAAACTGAATCCATACAACCACTCCATGAGGTGATAATACTAAACCCATTTTATAGGAAAGAAAGATGAGGCCAGAGTCATACCCAGGTGATTTCAAAAGTCCAGCTTCCTTCTACCTTTGCCGCGATGAGCTAATGGGACATTATATATAAAGGGCTTTGTAAACTAAAGTGGGGCTTTTAAAATGTATATATTTTTAATTTCTTAATAACAGTTTATAATAAAAAAGACACTAAATGCCAAAAAGTGAAGGAAATAGGTGTTTTCATCTATGTGCCCAATCAGACACACACATGGGAAGCCATAGGATCCAGACCATGAGGCTTTAGTTCAAAGACCATCCGGTGGCAATTTTCCTGCAGGGAAAAGATCAGACGGACAGACTTCCCACATGAGGCCACAAGCTAAGCACTAGGGCTCTGAGCTGACTATTAAATTTTTGGGTACGATGCCATATTTTGAATTAAAACTTTGGAATAAATGCTCCAATATGAGCCATTTAAGTAAGCTTACACTTTTTAGTGAAATTGCTCCTGATTTATTATAACATATTTTATTGTTGATACTTAATTTTTTAGGGACCTAAAATCGTGTTTCAGCTGGATCTATTTTGAGAGCAGTTCTAAGCACCTTGGACCTTCAGAGAGGTGACGCGTTTTCGGTCCCCTAGCAGCCAGGGATGTTGCTGTACAGAGGTGTCCTGGGTGAGGTCCCTCAGCTCTTTTAGGTTTGCAAAGAGGTTTTATCTCAGCAAGGATGAGACATATCCAACACTACTCCTTCCTAAAAATCCAATAATAGAATTAAATGTTGATTTCAACAGCATTTTCCTATTACAGTATCGCACCTTCCCCGTTTTGTTTGTTTGTTTTTTAGCTATAACGTGATTATTTTGATTTAGAGCATCCCCTGGGACACTTCTACACACATGACAGAGTCTGGGGGACTTTTCTCTGTTTGTACTGAATATTTGCACAGACTCTGCCAGTAGTCGGTTTTGATCCCAGGATAGTAGCAAATATTTACGACCTTCCAGAAGTAGGTGAAACAAGGAGTGTTGACACTTGAAAGATAAATTCTTGTTATCTACACAACACTAGGGTTCTAAACAAACAGTA